AAACTGTTTTCATTGGTCTTTTCCGCTGAACGGCGGCCATATTTAGCTGGCTTTTGCTAGATCAACGGAATGTGATGCGCATTTCGCCTTAAGAAGGGTTCACAATAATCTACTCAGTCTAGAGAGGATTTTGGCATTTGCGCATGCGCGGAGTCTTGGGAAGTCGAGCGTGACAGTTCTGTGATGAGGATGGACTCGTTTACAACGGATGCCAGATTAAAAGATTGCCAGCTACCTCAATAGATAAGAACAGATTTAGATTAGGTCTGAAGAGACTAGTATACCTAAAGAGATAGCTCAGTTGATGAATAAACATGTAGAAAGGTACGTCGCTAGACGCGAGATTGATACTGAAAAGTTCTCGATCACCTCCCCATTCCGAGATATTGTCAAATGACCAAATATATAATAATAATAATATAAGTCCTTTCTATTCGGCTCTTGAATTTTTCAGCACTCCCTCGCACGTTGAAAAAAATAATACAAGGTATATTACTCGTAATTAAGTAAGCAAACTAAAATAAAACAAAAGTTAGTTTGTATCAAAACCGAGAATATATATATATATATATATATATATATATATATATATATATATATATATATATGCTTACACGTTCTTTTATATAGATACAAATATTTAAGTAAATGTTCTGTTGATAATAAACAGTATTAACGACATTTACCGGCCTGAATGTCCGAGAAATTTTTCATAGAAAATATGCGTCTTGCGACTTTGTCCATTTCATAATGTGATATATAACGACGATTCCCTCTGCCAAGTTGGACTTACGTTTGAATCTTGTCGGAGAGCTGCATATTTTTCTCTCATAAAATTTCTCGAATATTCAGGCCGGTTGAATAAATAAATAAATAAATGGAACGTCTACTCAAATACGAGTATCCACTAAAATAATGTTTAAACTGATAATATCTGTCGGATTATATATATATATATATATATATATATATATATATATATGCAGTGCTGTTTGTTAAAAGTGACTCACCTGATTTTTTTTACTTAAAATTTTTTCGCCTATTCTTTTTGGGGTCAAACTAATTTTTAATCTTACTAATATAAAGACGCCTTCCCGACCAACTAGTAAAAAAGTTTACTCACCCTAAGTTATTCTACTGATAATTATAATTTTGGATATAAATGAGATTTAGGAAAAAATTATGTGCAAAAAAAGTGACTTACTTATTTCCTGCAACTAGTAATCAATAGAAACATAACCGAACCAGCTTTAAATAAAGAATAATAGAGGTATAATTTATTTATAATAGGTAATATAGTTCGAAATATTTAATAATCTATGGGTCCTCCTTTATTTTGAATAAGCTTTTTAACCCTTTTTGGCATTGACTTGATTAGGTTCTGGCAAATCTCATCTCCAAGCATTGAATTCCATTCGGATGTGAAATTCACAATCAAATCCTCTTTGTTGCTCAACTGCTTTCTCGAGAGCCTGTACTTTATAATGTTCCATAGGTTTTCTATGGGGTTGAGGTCAGGAGATTGGGGCGGCCATGTCATAACACTCACCTGCTTCTCATCAAAATATTCCTTCATCAATTTTGATTTGTGACAGGGAGCATTATCCTGCATAAAAATTAGCTTGGTGGGGTCGATTTGCACTTTTTCAGCAGAAGGGAATAGACAAGACTCTAAAATTCTCTTGTACTGCTCGCTCCTGAGGGTCTTTTTAATAGGTTTTAAGAAACCAGTTCCATGAAAAAAAAAGCATCCCCAGAACATTATACTGAACGGATTCTTGGCAGTACTTACTGCTAAATTCAAAAAGATTCTTCTGATTTTAGATCGCTTATCCTTTGAATTTAGCTCAACTTTCGTTTCATCGGAAAAGAGAACATTCTTCCAGTCTTCTAAGGTGACATTTTTGTAACAGTGAGCCCATTCAAGTCTCTTGGCTTTGTTGGCTTTGCTTATTAGCGGCTTAAACGTTCGTGTACAAGATTTGTAGCCTTGTTCTAACAGCCACCGGACGGACTGTTGAAGAGGCAAGACTAACACCTTGCTCTTCGCTTAGACTGGCTGCAATTTCTTGGCTAGTTATAGCCCTATTCTTCGCAACTTCTCTTTTGATTACCCTGCCCGTTCTATCATCAATCTTTTTCTTTCATCCCCTTGTTTCCTTCCTTGGAGCAGGAGTGGCATCATTATGTGCCCTAAGCACTCGAGAGACAGGTGATTGCGAGGTTATAGCAATTTCTGCAATTTCTCTCGTAGACTTGCCTGCTTTTGAGAGGGAAATAATAGATGCCTTAAGTGGTTCTGAGTGACTATTTCAAGCTGTTTGTGTATGAGGGTTTCTGGAATATTCTGGAATACTCTAGATTTAATTTAAGCTGTTCTAGAATTCTCTAGAATATTGTTATAAGTGTATTGTAAAATTGTTTTCAATATTTTGTCAAAAGTTCATTAAATTTACCAGTTTAATCATTAGAATGCGATATCTGAGTCACTTTTTTTGCACAGAGGTTTTATCCTGAATCTAATGATCTTGCTTCTTCAGACTACCATTTGTTTCGTAGCCTACAGAATCATTTGGAAGAAACAGCTTTTGTAAAACAGGAAGAGGTTAAAACTGATATTTGTGAATTCTTCGAATCAAAGCCAAAAGAATTTTACAGTAATGGAATTAGTAAGCTTGTTAATAGATGGAAGGAAGTCGTAGATAATCAGGGAAAATACATTGATTGAATTTGTATTTAAATGTAACATTTGGTCACTTTTTTTCTTTATTCAAAATTCGGTCAGAACTTATGGGATGACCTGATACAATTTATTTAAGTAAATGCACTGTTTCTTAATTAAACTTTATTAATTACATCTATCAGGCTGAATGCTTGCGAAATTGCGTAGAAAAAATGCATTCTCCGCACAGGAATCTAACATGTATTCCTATGCGTAAACCGTCATTTGATCTGACGTGCAATATGATTTAGCTACATGGTCAGCAAAGTCCAAATAATTGTTTTTAAATGTAATTAATTAAAAAAAAAAACAGTATTTACTTAAATAAATTGTATCTATAGAAAAAAGATAGTATTAAAAAATGGGAGAGGCAATAAAATCACTATACAGTTGTTTACAATAAGTTTAAATAAATTTATGGCAACCCTCTCTTTCTCTCCTGTTAGGCTGTTAGGTGGACCGAGGGTCCCAGCATTTGACGGCAGCGGGAAAGAATTTAAAAACTGGCTGGCAATCCTGGAGAAGAGCCGAGTTATTTACGAACTTTCAGACCACGAAACCCTGTACTTGGCATACGATGCCACAAAAGGGAAAGCGTCTGAATTCGTGAAGGAGCTCTTGGAGAGTCAACCCCACTTATCTTGGGAAAGTTTAAAGGGACTGTTGACCAAGGAATTCGCCGACGAGGGCACGGCTATAGAGGCCATGAGGGCCCTCCTAAAACTGACACAGCTGCGGGACGAAACCCCGGGAGAATTGGGGACCCGAGCAGGGAAGCTGTCATCATTGGCCTTCCCGGAAGTGGTCAAAGACAATGCGGTTATGCAGGCCCAACTAGCGGACCTGTATGTAGAGGCGCTAAGTGACGTCACGACGTGCTAAAAGAGGGACCGCTGAGACTGTCGGCAGCAATAGAGCTGGCCAAGGAGAGCCAGGGCGTATGGGAAAAGGTGAAGAGGTGTGGAAGGTAACAGATACTAAGTCAGGAGGCCGGAAGAAGGGGGGTAGGCGGAAGATCCCCCGCGTGGAATCAGAAGGTTAAATTAGAAGTAGATCAGGCTGAAGTATGGGAATAAGATCCCAATAGAAAGGAAATGGATTAAGCCAGACAATTATTTAATATATTATTACTTTATACGTTATTTCTATCGATACAATATATTTGATTAAATTATGTTGAGTGTAAGTAACTATATATATAATCTCTTTATTGCTATCCTGTATATATATATATATATATATATGCACACACACACACACACACACACACACACACATATATATATATATATATATATATATATATATATATATATATATTAAAGTCAAGTGGTAATCCGTATGGATAATTGCAGGGAGGATTTAAAATACTGTGGGCTCAATGTAATAAACAGAGCATGTAATAATTAATTAACAAATCGGAGACTTCAGAAAGCTATGGTAATATTTTTATATCCAGAATCTTAATAAAGATTAAGATTTTGAATCAATAGACCTGGTGGTTTCAAACAATGAATGGATAAAGAAAATTCATTCATTGTCTCGAAACCACCAGGTCTGACGAAGCAATATCAAATTATATATTATTGTAAACAACTGTATAGTGATTTTATTGCCTTCCAATTTTTTAATACTATCTTTTTTTTCTATAGATACAATTTATTTAAGTAAATACTCTGTTTTTTTTTAATTAATTACATTTAAAAACAATTATTTGGACTTTGCTGACCATGTAGCTAAATCATATTGCACGTCAGATCAAATGACGGTTTACGCATAGGAATACATGTTAGATTCCTGTGCGGAGAATGCATTTTTTCCCTGACGATCCGTTTAGGTGAAACCTAGGTAGGTTTGTCTGGCTCACTAGGTGTATCTAGGTCTGCTCTACGGTTGTATTGAGCTCTTTTGTTAGTTAGTTGTTACTCGTATCGGGGTTTTTTCTTTGGGCTTCAGACCTGCATCTGTGCGATTTTTTGTCGGCAGAAGTTCATGTTTGTAGCTCTTTTCTTTTTTAAAAAGATTTTTTTTTAAGTTGAAGATTGATTTGATTAGCAAATCAAAAATTCGAGGGTTTTTCGAAACGAGTCTAGTTATCTATCTATCTATCTATATATATATATATATATATATATATATATATATATATATATATATATATATATATGCAAGTTTGATTAAAGACAGTTGACAAGGTACAGGGTTGAAGCTTTTTATTCAATTTTTCTTGTGTTTTATATTCAGTTTCTTTCCTGGACATAAATAAGAACTAAAAAAA